GATTGTTCATCTGACTATAAGTTGGTTTGATTCTTAAGATTGGATACAATTTAGAGGCAAGCTTACGGTAGTTTTTAAAAGTTGAACGTGCTAAAGCACTTGAAAGTAACTCATAACTTCCCAAATTCAGTTGTCCTCTTGTTGTACATGCCCCTTTCCGTTTATGCCTATTTTGTCTACGGTGATTCGATGGAAAAAAGTGTCATTTACAGGTGAATCCAAAGAAAACTGGCAATGATTTTATTCATTTCATTTCAGTGTTCAAACGAGAGAGCTTCAATTTGGCGCGAATCTGATGATTGCAGCTCATTGCATTCTCACTCTTGTCATCGTCATCAACCCAGTCAATCAAGAAGTCGAGGAATATTTCAACATACCGCACAGTTGGTTTTTTTTATGTTTTAATGCAGTTCTACATCAGCATCAAGAGAAAATGAAGTTTAACCCATTCGAAACCGTAGCGTTTTTTCTTTTTTTTCGTCTGCGGACCAAGCCCTTTTTTGAGATTTTTGACTCCGAAGCAGTTTATCCAGATGGTTGGAAAGATTTAAGAGAGTTTCCTACATCATTTATTTTTGATGAATAACGATTTGCATTTGACTTCAGTACTTTTCAAGATCCTATCGATTATTGTTCTTATTTTATCGACGACAAATTAATCAATATGTTAGTAGGCGAATCTAATAAACATGGAAAAAGGAAAACAAACTGGCAGGATTTCGATGCAAAATCTTTCAAGCTCTTCCTGGCTCTGTATCTTCAAATGGGAATCGTCAAATTACCGAGGATTCGTGACTACTGGAGTAGCAGGCCTGGATTAGGAGATCTTTCCCACATGTCCCACATTATGTCAAGAGCAAAATTTGAATCTATTCTTCGAAACCTGCGTTTTTGTGATAATGAACTGGATCCTGCAGGAGATCGGCTTTATAAGATTAGAGCTATTATGGAACATTTCAATGCAAAACCAGAGGCTGCATTGATTCCGGGTAAATATGACACGTCTAGATCTGTTACAATTGGAATATACATGTAATGATGAAAAACAACAAAAAAAAACCAATTAATTGAATGAAAATAGCTCAATTAGCGCTGCAGCGGTCCGTTCCTGAGTTTTTGCTGCAGCGATTATTCGCTGCAGAAGTTTCGAATGGGTTAAAGATACCGTAATCAGTCGAGACGTCTGCACAAGTTTTACCCCTATCAATTTTCTCTTACAGAGTTCGGAATCGGTCGCGTCTTGGTGCGAATGACGATCTTGTTGTTCGTACTCTTCACCGGTCTCACTATGCCCGATTTTGGGCCTGTGATGAATCTAGTGAGTTTCTTTAGCTAAACAAAATACAAAAACCCATTTCCAGGTTGGTTCTTCAACAATTCCATTGGGCTGCGTTGTGATGCCGGCTCTCTTTTATCTTTGGATCAATGCCGCAACGGAAGAACAATGGGGAAAGGGAGTAATTCCATCCATTAAACAGTAAGTTTTATCTTTTAGTCATCAGATCTAAAGAAACCAAAAAAGAAATGAAGCAATCTGAAGCAATGAAGCAGAAATGAAGTAATCTTTTTCAGAGTCTATCAGCGAACCCCGAAGATAGTCTTTTGGCTGAATATCTTTGTTATGGGTGAGTAGACAAGAAGTTTATTACAAGAAATTGAATAAGATAATAATATTCAGGTGTTGCACTTGTTGGAGGAGCCGTTGGGAGTTACAAGGCGGTAATCGCGATGATCGAGACCGAATTCTCGGCTCCATGCTATTTCCGTGGCTCCGAGTTGCTCATTTCCAAAGGGAACACGACAATCATTCATGTGATTTTATAGAAATTATAAAATCTTTTCTAAAATCACATTTTCTATACAGTATTTATATAGAAATTAGTGATGTTAAGCCTTTGCAATTCCATTGCAAAAAGACACCTATAAACTACTGGTTGACTGACAACAGGACTTTTCATAGCTTTATTGCTAGCCTATTGTAGAAAACTACCGTAATCCAAGAGCCAGTTTCCTTTTAAATCTTGAAACTTGTATACTTTAACTTTAATTTGTCTATCAAGTTTGTAACTTGATAGATTCTGGATTGAGTGAATCCCTCAGGGTTAATGCACTTGTTAAAAGACACTTATAAACTGGTTGACTACTGGTTGACTGACAACAGGACTTTTCATAGCTTTATTGCTAGCCTATTGTAGAAAACTACCGTAATCTAACCGCCAGTTTCCATTGAATGAGCCCAATTTTGGTATCATTGATCCTCAGCGATTCTGGATTGAGTGAATCCCTCAGGGCTAATGCACTTGTTAATCATCATCATCGATCATCCTCAGCGATCCAAAATTGGGCTGATTGAATGACTAGTTTATTGGTCTTTTCGAAAACATATTAGAGAATCACATTCTAATTTTGAAATTTATTGCAGACTGATCAAAACAAAAGATACAATCCGAGGACCGGAATTTAATCTTTTCAGATGGTGCAAACGTGTTGTGGATGGGCGAAGAATATCTCTTCAAAAGGAACGCCCGATCTATGTGGAGAGATTCCATTATAGAAGGATGGCATTTGTTTTTTTTGCGGGAAACAACATTAACTCATTTGTTTGGATTAACTCGAAAGTGTCAAATTTTAGCCAAATTAGCTAAAAATTAGCCAAAAAAACCCGTAACTTTACACATATTTTAATGTTTAAATATTCCCCTCGCTGTGCCATTTCCATTCACTTATCTCTTCATTCAAGTACTACGGTTTGCCTATAGAAAAGCCTAGATTTTAGATTTTGAAGTTTTTAAAGCTGGACCCGTTACTTACCCAGTGAATACTTACCCAGTACTTTCCCTTTTAAAAACCCGGTTAGCTTAAAATTGTAACTTTGTACTTTGTACTTTTCCTTTTGTTGCCTCACAGGCCTTCCAATACCGGTTTCTCATGACTTTCTTTGAATAAACATTTCTTCTGATATTTTATGCTTGTTCTTTTTTCATTTGTTTACTTGTCAAATGTGCAATAAAGTTTAGATTATTTCAATTTATGCTCTTTTTCCATCGAATCACCGTAGACAAAATAGGCATAAACGGAAAGGGGCATGTACAACAAGAGGACAACTGAATTTGGGAAGTTATGAGTTACTTTCAAGTGCTTTAGCACGTTCAACTTTTAAAAACTACCGTAAGCTTGCCTCTAAATTGAAATTGAATCAAACCAACTTATAGTCAGATGAACAATCCCCAAAAGAAACTCCTTCAACTCCCACGACCCAGGTGTCCTTTGTGCGCGAGCGTAATAGCTCTCGATCTGGAGCAAGCCCATTGGTTAGCCCCCTCCCTAGGTGGCCTCATAAACTTACCTGGCTGGGGGGTTTCTCGTGATCACCAAGACGGGACCCCCATGGTGAGACATGGTCATTGCACTTTTGACTGTGTTGACCTGTGTGGCAGCTCCGAGTTGGGGTTCGCTAACAGCTAAATTTTTGCGTGAGGGGCTGCGTTCGCGCGGCCCTGCCAATAATCAGTGGAGGGTTACTTCTCGAATAATATGTTTCTTGCTAACAATTCTTCACATTGCACGGTGCAACGAAACAGTAATAAGTTCATTTCCATCAATTCTTTTTTTTCCCTTTTCTCACAACTGAACTTTTGAACATATGGTTTTTTTGAAAGCAAAAGCCCCAACGAATCCTTTTCTCTTTTTTCAAATCCAACGCCTTTCCTCCTAAAGTTTGAACGGTTTTATGAGCACAAAACTGTTCTTTGTTTTTGAATTTCATTCATTTTTTGATAAATCAATGTTTTTAAATCAATAAATCAATCAATTCAATCAATGTCCAATGTTCAATGTTTCTAACTTTTCAACAAAATGTAACTTTGATCGATTCTTGTCTCTCGAGCTTTTGTTTATCCATGAAAAGCTCGTCGATGATCCCTGAAAATATTTTGCACTTTTTTTTTGCCGTTGTTGACTCGTTGATACTTGACGGGAAATGTGTCTGGATTGAGTGAGGACGAATAAACGAAGATTGTATTCGATCCTCAACTAGCGATCTCTTTTTTTATCGACTTATTGCATCAATTGCATTATTTTTTTTGAGTTATGCTTACCCTTTTTGAATGCTTGGCTTTCCAAGAAAAAGCGCAAAAAAAAGGAAAAAGAAAATCTTTCCAAGAAAAAATATAAACTCTCTCTCAAAAACTGTTTAAGTTATGATTAAACTATTGAATCATAGAAATTACTTATTTAAAGTCATCTTGTCATTCAAACAAAGCAAGTTTTAACTCATTAACTTTTAACAAATTCTGTTAATCACTTCCGCAAACAAGGAAATCTAATAGAAATCTTTTTCTCCTTTCGAATCATTTCCCAGTTATCTCTTTGACATTTTGGTGGTAATTTCAAGAAAAAAAAGACAGATAAGCTGCCAAAGATCGGCAAAGATTTGTTGAAGATTTAAATTTCAAAACTCAAACAAATACTCGATAACAATTGGGGAGTTTCCTTCATTGAAGTCTCATTTCACGAGCGTTCAATGATCTGTGAGTGAATAGGAAAAGGAAAAAGGCCAAATCATTTCTTTTAAAAAGAGCAAAGAAAAATGGGGGAAAAATGGAAAAAAATGAACCGACAAGGGCAGTTGTTTTTCCCCTTTCCCATATCGGCTGATTAAACTCTCTTTCAGCCATTCCCACTTTATTTTCTCTCTCTCAGATCATTTACCCGAGATATTGCCCCAAAAGTTTTTCGCGACCGATTTGTTCAACTCACAAAATTGATTCAAGATTGAAATTTTGATGTTTATTGATAAGATCTACGAGTTCCACGAGTTTTCATTGTTAGATTTGAGTTAGATTTGTTTTCTATTTGATACTGTTATGGATTTGAGTGATACTGTTATGGATCGATTAACAAATTGAACACAACTTCAAGTTTTAGATGTACTCCTTTTTTTGGTTCTTGAACTCTTTGAATTTTCATTTTCATTTTCATTTCCATTTTCAGCTTATATCATGGGCCCAAAACCGCCACATTTGAGTCCAGCTGGGTCGAGTTTCTCCGTGAATCGGGAATATTCCCATTTGAATGGAGATGGGGAAAAGAAAAAGTACTTACCTGATGAAGTACTTGATATGATTGGTGAGTTAAGACATTCGCAACAAAGCCATTCATTCACTTGCAGCCATTTCAAATGATTGCGAATAATTGTTAATGTGAAATTATGTTAAACTAAAAGCTTTTATTGAGTTGGTGAATTGAAAACTGCCGGCTATTGTCATATGTGACAGTTTGAGCACTTTCTTCAAAAGAAACCCATTTTGGTGTCAATAGAAAAGTTGTAGAGAATCAAAAATCAAGCTTATATCCAAATTTTCAGAACGATTCAAAAACTGGTTTTCAAGAAATGCCAAATTTACGAATTTTCACAAAAGTTGCATTTTAAGCGAAACTACTAAGTGTATCTTTTTGGAAATTTGGCTCTAAACCTAATTTTTGTTCTCTACAACTTTTCTATTCACACCAAAATGGGTTTCTTTCGAAGAAAGTGCTCAAACTGGGACATCTCCTCCATTTTTGAGTCTCACACTTGTCTCACACACAAAGCAAAATCCTACTACGAAGAGGAGGCCCGCAAATTGCCTGTAAAATGGGCAGAAGTCGTCAATAATAATGGGAATTATTTGGAATGAATTTATGGTTTTATGTTGAATAAATTTTAGTTCAAGTCCGGCAGTTTTCAATTCACCAACCCAATAGTTTCAATATCTAACAAGGGAATGGCCAGAAGTGAATGTGATCGTCTGGGATGAATCTTCTCAAATGTTTGGGATGGATCTTTCCAAACGTTTGGGATGGATCTTCTCAAACGTTTGGGTTGGATCATCTCAAACGGTTACAAACGACTTTCGGGTCGAGTTCTTTCATTCGATAGATCTCATTAAGAGATTAAGAGAATATTGAGTTTGGAAAAGGCTATGGTATTGCTTTTTGTGTGCCACTAGTCCTCGAGGTTACAAGTCATGATCAACCAAACCAGGCAGACCAAAAACCATCATTCAACTATGTCCTAACCTAGTCTAAACCAATCACCATAACTTCTTTCATTAAACATTTCCAGGTGCACGAAACAAAACCCTTTTGGTGGGAATGTGTTCAGCTTCATTCATTTGGGTGCTCGGCGCAATGCCGTTGATGGCCTCGGGTTTCACTTCTGATACAAATAATGCAACGATGAGAACCGTGATTGATGATGTGAGGGGGGAAATCTTTATTTTAAGAGAATCCAAATTTTCAGTTTAATCTAACTGGAGAGAACTCGTATCTGGCTGAGATTCCAACGTCGGCATATATGGCAGGAAATATGGCTGGTGGAACTTTCCTGGCTCAGGCGTCGGACAGGTAAATGAGGGGGGAAGGGTTTAGTACTAGAATCTGAGTACTAGAATCTGAGTACTAGAATACTGTAGTAGTAATGTCGTAATGTATATACGGTTATACGGTAGGTAAATGGGAGGAATGGCTTGATGAAATGCCTGGATAGTGAGAGTGAAGGACATTCTAAGCGATCCGATCTTTTGCCATTCAGCCCTAAACAGTTCTAGATTCGGTCGTCGTCCCGTTCTCCTACTCGCTCTTTCCATGTTCTCTCTATCCGGCATTCTTGCTTCATTTTCCCCATCGATTCTCATTTACAGCTTGCTCCGAGCGTGTCAAGGATGCTTTTATACAGTAAATAGTACAAAACATATATCAAAGTCAATTTTTAGGGTTCTTGCGTGACCGGTTGGGTTGCCGGTTATGAGATGTCACCGCCAAAGATGCGTCCATTAGCCACGCTACTTTTTAGGATGGCTTGGGTGAGTGTGATCTCAGATTTAGTTCAAAGTTATACAGGGTGCGCCAAAAGTTCCCGTCCTTATTTTTCTGTATTTTGGTGATGTTAGATAAAAGATCACGATTTTAAAAAAGTAAGAAATTCGAAAACTGATTTAGAAAACGTTTCTGGTTGAATTTATAAGTGCAACGCTATTTAAGACAAGTGATTGAGGAGAGAGTCCGCTCAGGGGCGCTTTGGTCGCACAGTTACAGGGCACAGTTACAGGGCACAGTTACAGGGCACAGTTACAGGGCACAGTTACAGGGCACAGTTACAGGGCACAGTTACAGGGCACAGTTACAGGGCACAGTTACAGGGCACAGTTACAGGGCACAGTTACAGGGCACAGTTACAGGGCACAGTTACAGGGCACAGTTACAGGGCACAGTTACAGGGCACAGTTACAGGGCACAGTTACAGGGCACAGTTACAGAGCACAGTTACAGGGCACAGTTACAGGGCACAGTTACAGGGCACAGTTACAGGGCACAAGGGAACTCTTTCATTGAATATCTTTAGTTATTGGGCTATTCTGCTGTGGCCCCTTTGGCCTACAATGCCGACTCGTGGAGACAACTCGTTTTTTACACGGCTCTCCCATCATTACCCTTTGCTTTATGGATATATTTGTAAGTATAAATACAAGACTTTTACGTCTAATATATATTTAGCTTTTTACCGGAAACTCTGCACTTTTTGGTGAGCAAACGGAAAACGAAAGAGATGGGAGTCTGGCTTGAAAAAGTTAGCTCAAAGATCACTCAAAGAAAACTCAGAAAATTTTGATTTTTAGATTTGCGGTGATCAAAAGTCGCCCGTTTCTTCAGAACAAATTCTATTACTTCAGGAAAACTCTGAGAAAAGTTCATTGTAATGAAATTATCTTCGAGTCAAATGGTTTAGGTTGAACGTTTTTCCGGAGATTTGTGGAAATAGGACTTTTTGTCTATACGATAGCGATGATGTATTTGTGGTGACGGGAATTTCAAGAAAACGAGAAATTCAATTCAAATTAGTCACGAAAAGAATTTACGTTTCTCGTTGAATTTATAAGTGCGACACTATTTAAGACAGAGTGATTGAGAAGAGGGGCGCTTTGGTCGCTCAGGGGCGCTCAGGGGCGCTCAGGGGCGCTTTGGTCACACATTTTTTTGGGGCTTCAAGGCCTGTAACTTTTATGGATCAAAAGATTTTCAAAGAGCCAAGATGTTTTTCGAAAACTAGACATAAAATGTGACATTTTTATATTGGGTGTATAAAGTTTTTGGTCAACGACCGAGTCGGAAGTCAGGTTAGAACTTGGTTTTCCCATATAAATTTTCATCAAAGGGAAATAACTGTAACTGTGCGCTGTAACTGTGCCGCTGTAACTGTGCGCTATACTGTCCCGCGCTGCTAGCAGTGCGCTGTAACTGTGCGCTGTAACTATGCGCTGCTATTCTGTGCCCAGTAACTGTGCGCTGTAACTGTGCCCGGTAAGCTGTGCCCGCTAACTGTGCGCTGTAATTGTGCCCGGCAACTGTGCCCGGTAACTGTACGCTGTAACTGTGCCCGGTAACTGTGCGCTGTAACTGTCGCGCTGTAACTGTGCCCAGCAACTGTGCGCTGTAACTGTGCCCAGTAACTGTGCCCGGTAACTGTGCGCTGTAACTTTGCCCGGTAACTGTGCGCTGTAGCTGTGCCCGGTAACTGTGCGCTGTAACTGTGCGCTGTAACTGTGCCCAGTAACTGTGCCCGGTAACTGTACGCTGTAGCTTGTGCCCGGTAACTGTGCCCGGTAACTGTGCGCTGTAACTGTTGCCCGGTAACTGTGCGCTGTAACTGTGCCCGGCAACTGTGCGCTCTGTAACTGTGCCCGGTAACTGTGCGCTGTAACTGTGCCCGGTAACTGTGCGCTGTAACTGTGCCCGGTAACTGTGCGCTGTAACTGTGCCCGGTAACTGTGCGCTGTAACTGTGCCCGGTAACTGGTCCGCGCTGTAACTGTGCGCTGTAACTGTGCCCGGTAACTGTGCGCTGTAAACTGTGCCCGGTACGCTGTGCCCGGTAGCTGTGCGCTGTAACTGTGCCCGGTAAACATTGCGCTGTAACTGTGCCCGGCAACTGTGCGCTGTAACTGTGCGCGTAACTGTGCCCGGTAACTGTGCCCGGTAACTGTGCGCTGTAACTGTGCCCGGTACTGTGCCCGGAACTGTGCGTGTACTGTGCCCGGTACTGTGCGCTGAGCTGTGCCCGGTAACTGTGCGCTGTAACTGTGCCCGGTAGCTGTGCGCTGTAACTGTGCCGCGGTAACGCTGCGCTGTAACTGTGCCCGGCTAACTGTGCGCTGTAACTGTGCCGCGGTAACTGTGCCCGGCAACGGTATGCGCTGTAACTGTGCCCGGTAACTGTGCGCTGTAACTGTGCCCGGTAACTGTGCCCGGTAACTGTGCGCTGTAACTGGTTGTGGAAATAGGACTTTTTGATCTATACGATAGCGATGATGTATTTATGGTGAGGGAGCATTTTAAGAAAACAAGAAATTCAATTCAAATTAGTCGAAAAAGAATTTAGGATTTGTGACACGTTCACCTATTTCGGCCCTTTTCTTTGTACAGTACGGGTTGTCCGGGAACAAATGGGTCAACTATTTGCCTGATGGGTTTAGTCGAATTACCCGCCTACATCTTCCACGCCGATGCTCATCGATAAGTGAGTACAATCAAAAAGATATTCCGCCAAATGTTCGTTTCCTATAAAATTCTTTGATTTTAAAAGAGTTTATTGATTGTTTTTCCTAGCGAGTAATGCGTCAATTTAAATTTAAAATTTAAAGTAATTTAAAACGCACACTTCAGAAAATTACCGTACTTTTAGGAAAATTACTGCAAAAAAATTGGGAGTGGAAGAAATGCTACCTTTTTTTGGCGTACCAGGAACTTGTTGCGCCATCTTTTTTTGCCTGCCTTTTCGCCCATTATAACAAGGACTGCCCTAGACCCTTAGAATCACTTTTTTTTTTCTGCTATTCGTCTATAGCTTTCATTTCTTGATGATATTTTTTGCTTATTGCTTTCCTGTCTTCTTGGTGCTTGATGGGCTGGAGTCTCCGTGGGCTAGGGACAAGTGCGCTTGCACTGCGCCATCTACTAGAGCATGACCGAGTGGTTAGCGAGAGCCTCTTTCAAACGAACGGCAGAGAGAGATCACGAGTTCGCCTCCCTCTCGCCCCCGCCAATTCTTTGCTTTTTGTTGCGGAGTAGCTTGCGAAGCTTCGGGTGAAGTAGGAATTGGTGGAAATGTAAGCATAGAAAACATGTAAAACAGTCGCGCCAGTCCCTTAAAACCGCACGTCAATGGGAATCTAACTAAACGATTCTGTTTTTTTTTATTTTGATACTTAAGCACGCATTGTGGCATAAACCAGTGTCGAGAAAAACGCGTTCAAAGCTAGGCTACACGATGCTCCGTCTGTTGATATCGAAAAATAGCCCTGAATTTCAGCTATTTTTTGCTCCTTAAGCGCACATTGTAGCATAAACCAGTGTCGAGAAAAACGCGTTCAAAGCTAGACTACGCAACACTTCGCACTGTGATTATGGGAATGGGGGTACAGTATTTACAGTACTTACTCTAAAGGAACACAGTTGGTAACTCTAGTTGGTAACTCCCTATCATTTAGATTAAGAACTTTAAATTAAAGTTGATCATATGAAGATAAGTTTCAACCAGTTTGCACAGGATTTTTAGATTTGAATAAACTAATTGAAAATTTGAAATTTCAGAATATAATTGGCAAGGATTTTAGCTGATTTAACCAATTTAGTTCCTCAAGAAAGCCATAAGATTTCAGATTTGGTCGTCGTTCGATCGTTGCAGGCAGTCATTTTGTGGCCGGTCTTGCTTTCATGAGTCTTTTAATATCTCCTGGTTTGTTTTAATCGGCTAGAAATGATCATAAGTGATCCATTTACCAATATAACACTATTTTTCAACCGAAGTCCTTCTCCCGATTTGGTTAATAGGCAAATCGGCGATCCTCCCTCTCGTTTATGGCGCTTTTCGTGTCACCCGAGTGAGGTGAAGCTTTTAAAGTAACAATTATATAATAAAATGATAGATTGGCAACTTGAAAGTTGGTACACTTACCGTATTTTCTCTATAGTAGTGCACCCCGACAGGCCGAGTTGGCGTGAGCTATCTTACGGCTCCCAAGCTTTTGCAGAAGCTCAACACTTTAATCCCCCACTAGATCTCATCGTCGGCTACATTTTCCGGCCACACATCAATAGGTTCTGATCAGCGGTTCTCAAGATTTCGAGGAATTTAGGCGACACTTTTGGTCACACTACTATTAAAGAAAATACGGTATTCGTTGGCAAATCAAAATCGACATCTCAAAGTGAACCTTGTGGAAGATTGTTCCGACCTTCTGCAACGAGCCGGCAGCGTAGGCCATTCTGAGGTAGGTTTTACCTTAAAATTTCAGCTCGTTTAAAGTACCGACACTTATTGAAGCCTATTGTAAACGGATCAGTGTTCAAATTCAGAGACGATCAAAAACGTTTATTTATTTCTCTCTTAGTAGTGCACCCCGGCAGGCCCAGTTGGTGACTATTTGACAGATTTCAAGCTTTTGCAGAAGCTCCAACCTCTAATCCCCCACTAAGATCTCATCGTCGGCTTTTTCCGATTCCGCTTGATAGACTCTGACAAGCGGTTTATAAGGTTCCAAAGAACTTGAGGAAGTCCAGGTTAGAGAAAATCCCGTAATCTATTAAATATTAAGCTAGATACCGTATTCTCTCTAATAGTAGTGCAACGGCCAGCAGGCCGAGTTGGTGACTATCTTATGGTTTCCCAAGCTTTTGCAGAAGCTCAACACTTTAATCCCCCACTAGATCTCCATCGTCAGCTACATTTTCCAACCGCACATCGATAGGTCCTGATGAAGCAGTTCTCGAGATTTCCTCTCTCGAGCAATTTAGGCGACACCCGGGGGTGCACCCTATTTACTATTAGAGAAAATACGGTATTCGTTGGGTTTTTAGGCTCCCAACTATTACCCCAATTAATCTACAGTTTTCACTAATAAAAGGCTCATTTATTCTCTAAACATCTTTTAACAGATTTAGAAAGAAGTTTCGGCTTTGTAGTTTTCTAGGGAGCGAGAAGTTGAGGAACCAAAAATGGTGAACACTCGATGAAGCGATTTGAGCGTTGAGCACTTTCTTCCACATAAAGCCTATTTTGATGTTCATAGAAAAAAGATAGAACATGAAAAGGTTAAGCATATAGCCGAATTCTTAGCTTGATTTTCCAATTTCAAAATTTATGTATGTTTGAGGAATTTTCAGAAAAAAAAAAGCTTGAATTTCTGCTCAAATTCATTAGAAAAGTTACCTAAATTTGCTTAAGCTTGTCTTAAATTTGCTGTCTTTGTAAGCTTGTCTTAAATTCGATAATATGTAACTTTTATTCTACCATTAATTAATTCAGTTGGCAGGTGGTAATTCAGAATTGAGAGAAATCTAGTTCAATTTAGCATATATGTTTTATGGGACGAATACGAAAAAAGTTTCTCAACTTTCAGGTTGTCAATCTAATATCAAATATCTGTTCAAGTAACTATTTATTTGTTTTAGAATGAATTCCAGGTTTTCCCAACCGATATCCGAAACGCATCAGTCGGAATGTGCGTTGTTGTGGCCTCCGTATTGGTGGCATTGCTGGCTCCGCAGATTAAAAATATGGTTTGTCAGTTTGATTTCATAAATTTTAAGCAAAAGATTAATAAAAAATAACCTTAAATGACAAGTCAGCTTGAAATTTCAAATGTTTTCCGAATATCTACTAGATATAAAAGAGCTGTATCTGTCTATCTGTGCACATT